ATTAATCTCAGAATGCCATTTAGAATGCAAAGCTCTCCTTGCTTCTCTTTTTATTTTATTTGCAGATTTTATTTATGTGTGGTTCTAGCTGCCTCAGGGTATTTTATCTAGTATGTAGAGTGGACTTAAAATACTTTACTGTACTTTTAAATCTCTTCCCCTTTTCTTGATTGTAGGCTTTATTCTCTTTTTTTTCTCCTCCCCTTCACCTTCTGCAGTCACCTTCACAAAATGGCACAGAATGGTCATGTGTCAATGCCATTTTGTAAAATGAATTACAGGGAGATTTACTCCTGAATTCCTGTTCCATGTTCGCTCATGCAGTAAGGAAAGGCAGACTTGACCTAGTCCTATTGATTTATGTGCATATTACTATTAATTCTACAGATTGGGGGAGTGTGTTAAAGCGTTCTGGACAAATTGAATCAGAAGAAAAGTGTAGTTAGAGCAGGGAGAATTTTACATTATTTTATCCTTCTTTATGATTTTCTTCTTTCATATGTTAAAGTCCATTAAAGCTTTTTGGTTTCATTAAAGCATCTGTTGCACAGTTAAATCCTTCCTATCACAGAATGATAAATTTAACATGTTTGAAGCTTAGCAGATGTTTTGTTCAGTTATATTTATTTGTTACACTGTATTCCTTTGAAACTTCCTATTTTACTACCTCCTGGGGGCTACTGCTTTCAAAGGACTTTGTTTCTAACATTCCCATGTCATAAATGCCTTTTTTCTGGGCAGAGAGAGGGTGACCTGGAGAAAAGAGCATCTTGCCAGCAATAGCATCTAATAACACACTTGGACTGTGCTGTCTCCTTGTGCAGCTTTGACTCAGCCTTTCATTCTCTTGTTTAATAGAAATAATTATGTGGCTTCATCTCTAAAACACAAAGTTAATCAACCTGCCCTGAATACAAAACAGGACAACAGGAGGTAAATGAGTGATATAATTAAGCATTTTGCCTGTTCCCAGACATCTAAAAAAGTCTCATTATTAAGAGACCTGAAATTTTTCAAGAACAACCTCCTCTAAATAAAACAAAATTGAAGTATATTTCAAGTAAACCGATGTAATTAATACTTTTATTGATTCTAATGTAGCTATTTGGTATTTTAAAAGTTTAAGTGATTTTCTAGGTAGCTGTTGATACTTGTTTCTGTGACAGAAGTCTATTGATTGAGTCCTATTTTTGTTTCTAACTTGAACAAATTCTTCTAGACTTCACAAGAACAGTCAACACAAGGTGAAAAGGTAAATAATCTGAACAATCAGCCAGTGCAAACAGTGAGGTTGAAGTGTAACTTCTGCAGAAGTTCTGGCCTTACAATGAGTATTTCTGAGGGAAATTGCTTTCCTTGGTTTTTATCTCCTGGGCAAGACAGCTTTCAAGGATGTTTGATGCTCAGAGGACACTGTACATGGAGAAATGACTGTTGGACCCTTTGGGCTCATGATTATTTATTTAATTTTTTTTTGCAACAACCCCAACATCATTAATGGAATTCTAGTCTGTATTACTTTCTCAGTAGAAAATATAGCTACAACCAACAGCCTTGGTTAATCACAAAGATTTTATGTTCAGGGTGTGGTGAGATGGAAAGCAGAGAAGAAGTATCATTGAAAGACACATATTTTAATAGTTATGCTTATCATCAAGGCCAGTGCTTTGAATTTGTTAATTCATTGCATAATATGATGCCTAAAACTGGTTCAGGTTTACAGGATGGCTGCCACAACTTGGACTTTAATGGCCTGGTGTCATGTACTCTGGTCATGTCGTTTTGTTTGATAGGTTTGGGGGTTGCCAATAAATGATGACAAGGTTAATATTTGGTTATCAGGTATTATGAGTTCTCATATATAAAACCTAATTATGAGCAGCTTTAATATGGAGCAGAATATTTTAATTGATGTGAGAAATACATTTTTGTCTTCACCTTAAGTAGTTTTCTGTGCCTTTTTGCAAGAGCCTGGCCTTAGGTTTTGCTGCCATTAATCCAGAGTAATCCACTGTCTTTCTGAGAGCTATTCTATAACTCACCATGGTGATTAAAATTCAAATATATTGAAGTTGTTCCATTTTCATTCTACTTGAACACTTCTGTGTAGGCTAGGGGTTGTTTTGTGTTTCCTGAATTAGTCTGCAACAAAAACTTGTCTCCTTGTATAAATTAATTCAGGAGAACACCATCTAAATGTGACTAACCCATGATCTTAAACTGATAATAAAGAAACGTGATGTATGTTCACTGCAAAAATGCTCTCTATTTATTCAAAGTACCAAATCTGATCTAGAATTTACATCTTAATAGATCAGAGTGTGGTTACTATGGATGGGTTCTTTTCATGTTTTGAATCAACATTTTGAAAGGGGAAATAAAATGGGTGAGCCGGTACATGCAGTGTCTGTGGATTCCTGATGACAGGGAGGAGATCCCAGAATAAAGTATATATATATATATATAAACATATATACACATATATACATATATATATACAATAAGTATAAATATGACTTTTGTCTGATGCACAGCACAGGAAGTCTCTGGTTGAGAGCAAAAGAAAATGCAGTTAGGGACAGAGCCACTGACACCTAAAGACGCTGTTTAAGAGTGTTCTGGAACACTCTAAAACAAACCCACCAAATAACCCAGCACAAACCATTTAGAAGGAAGTGTAGCTTTCAAAGTTCTCTTCAGGACAGGTTTTGGCAGTGTTTTTGTCAGAGAGATGAAAAAACCCATTTCCAAGCGAGCAGTGGAAGCAGAGAGGCTGGAAGGCCGCGGCGGGTGCGCGACAGAAATAACCCCGTGTGCGCGTCAGGTTTTCCACGCGCGCCGCGCCAGGTGAATGGGAGTTCTGTGAGGAGGGAGGGAGCCCCGGAGCTGAGTCAATGCCCAGCCTTGTTGGATGTCTGTCTGTGCTCGGAACGCCGCCCTTGCCAAGGATTAGCTCACAGCCCTGCTTTGGCAGCCACTGCCTGGAGTGGGGTTTTTACACAGAGGGAGAATATGTTTGTTTTTAAAGCACAGAAGTCTGTAAGGGTAATTATTTTGAGGGCCATTCCAGTTCTCACCCTGAATTTCGGTAACTTCCCAAACAGCTTTCTAGTCTGTGTATGTAAAACCAAACAAACTTTGTAATTTTATTTCTATTTCTTGATATTTTTTCCTGCTTTCTTTTGTCAACATTTTCCTTCTTAAGTTGCAGATAAGTATTCACAAAACTCTTCTAACTTTAAAAGCCCATTACAGTCTAATATGTATCTTTTGTGTTGATTTGGTGAAACAGAAACAGTAGTAACTAAAGTGCATTCACTTCGGGAGCATTAAAATAACACCGCTTACCTCCATTACTTCAAGTGTTTGTGTAACTAATTGTATTTACTTTTCTATTGCATGTGAGCAGCTAATTACTGTAGCACCTCTCACTTCTCATAGTATTTATATTGCTGTAGTCACCAGCAGCTTTAAATATGAACAAAAAAACCCCACACCACTCTTTAGGCTGTACAGAACTCAGAAAAACTATATATATTTAAAAAAATAATAAAGCACTCCTGTTTCTGTGACTGTGAATTTGTCATGTGAATGACAAATCAGAAGGGAGAAAGGTGGAGACATATCCCTGCACATGGGGATGTGTCTACCTGATGTGAGGTTACCAAGTCACCAATCTGCACTATGGGGGTTGGATGTCTGTGCAGATGGGAAAGAAGATGAGAAGGTTCTCAGGAAGAGTTCTGTCATTCATTTATTGAGCTAAATTTTTTAATTATTGGCATCTTCTGGGAGCTTTTCTGAGCAATGATCAGAATGACACGAAGCATTATGAGATGATAAGTTTTTGCTCAGGGATTCTCAAAAACATGAATGGTAGAAAACAAAATTCATACAGTGGTGTGTAAAGCATTTAATGCATCCTTTTTATTTTAACTCAAAAAAAGGAAACTAGAATTGCCTAAAATGGCAAACAGGAGGGACACAGTCTCCAGGAAAACACATACTCCAGTCAAGGCTTCCACATGCAACCCAGTTCGTGGATCTGATCATGATCCTGGCACTTCCAGTTTTGGTAGCAGCTCCTGGTTGGGAGCTGCTAACAGCGGGCTGGCTCTGATTCGGGTGCAATCAAACTGGGCCCTTCCAGCTGCTCTCCTCAGCAGTGTTGCAGTCTCCCAGACAGGGCTGGCACTCTCGGGTGTGCCTGTGCCAGGGCACAGAAGGGAGCAGGGCTGATGTGGCCATGAGCAGCAGGCAGGGTGATGTGGCTGGCTTCAGGCAGGGCAGCACCAGCCCACTGCTTTGCACATACAGCCACACCCAAAAGATGGAGGGACGTTTCCTCTCTATCCTCCTGGAACAGTTCAGCTTTCAGCTGCTCACAGCCTTGACTGGGCTGTGTAAGTGTGTGCTGGAAGACAGCAGAGCAGAATGGGATATTCAGGGTCTGTGGTGAGGATGCTGGGGAATCTGCTTTGCCTTGGCTGTTGGTTAATGCTGCACAGGTGGGAATTCCTGTGTGGATCAGGTCTGTTTTAGCAGGTGTGCAGCAAAGGAGCTGAAAGGTCGCTTTGTTGACTCTGAAGGTGCAGTAACTTAATAAACATTGAAGTGTAGTTTTCAGACTAAGAAATGGATAGCAAATGTTACTATTTGGGTAGTAACAACTTGTGTGCTACTCTCTGACTTGGCACAAAAAGAGGCTGTTACTAAACCAACAGGAGCTATTCTGGAGAGAAGGAAGTATTAATTTTGTCTGGCATTCCATGTTCCTTTTGCATAACAATACATGATTCTTCTAGCACTTACAAACTGCTTAGTTTGTCTGTGGCCAGAGTGAATTCATTTCAGCTGCCCTGATGAGAAGAAATTTCCTACCTTTTTTTAAATATAACCATTGATGAGTATATTAGTTAAATGCATTTTATTACTGCTCTTTGTTAACTAACTTCAGATGTCTAAGAAAGAAACCAATACAGTTGTGTATTTATCAACAGGCCAGGTTCTGGTAGAAATCTCAAGAACACACAAGAAACTTAATGACAGTCTAGAAGAGAGTGTAAGTTAAATAATTTCTTCTATTTCATTTTGCTTGTGAAATTATAAATTACTTTTGCCAATTTTTAATAACCTTTAATTCATTTGTTTTTAAAGTTTAAAAAATTTCACAAAGAAATTATATCTGAACTGGAGAAGAAAACAGACCTGGATGTAAAATATATGACTGTAAGTGCATTCAATTCTAAAATTCGTAATTTATTTGTCTGTTGCTAGTCAAGGAATTTTTTAGATGTTGTTTCCCAAGATTTAATTAATTGATACAAACTTTAATAGAAATGTACTTTATATATATAAAGATGAGCAAGATTTTCATGCTTAATTTAATTTAAAAAGGGAACCCCTGTATGACTTCATAGCTCCTTAAAACCACAGCAGTTGCTGAACTTACTTGGGGGGTGTGAGCAGTATCTCAGAGATCACAGAAATGCTTTTTAGTCCCTTACCCAGATACATGGCTGAGTGCATTATCAGATGATGTAAATGCTTTGATTGCAGGCAACTTTAAAAAGGTACCAAACAGAACACAGAAGCAAACTGGATTCTTTAGAGAAGTCTCAGGCTGAGCTGAAAAAAATCAGAAGGAAAAGCCAAGGAGCACGAAATGTAACCAAGTATGAGCATAAAGAAATGGAGGTCAGTGCACTGTCTTTTATTTGTTTCTTTCTCTGTAGGAGAACTGGTCAACAGAAAAAGTTAATGGTTCATCAAAGCTGATGTGTATTAAAGGCACTCCTCGAGTTTGTACCACAGCTGCAGTTGAGCTCTCACTGCTCCACTGTACATATTCGGAGACTTCTGCTTCCTAGATTTCATCACTTGACCAAAAGTGGATCTGGAAGTACACCTTTATGCAGAGCTTTACACAGGGATCCAGCTAAACTATGCAAATTCAGAAGTAATTTGCTATAGAGTAATTTCCCTGAGTAGGCAGTGCCAACTTGTGTTATTGCCTTTCCTACTGCCCTTAATCCAGCATTGCCATCTTGAGGTGAAATCCGAAAAGGCAGGACACTGAAGTGTTAAACTGTTTCAAAATGTGAAAATCAGCTTCTTGTTGTTATGTGTCTCTCTTAAAATACCTGACATTGATATTTTATTTGCACAACACTTGTACTTTTCTCCATATCTATTTTAATTTTCAAAGAAATCTTTGTGTATAATAGAGTACAGTAAGTGTAGGTAACATTTCTTACTGCCTATCTTTTAACCTCCATTCACAAGAGTGGAGGGTTTTTTCAGGTTCTGGGTCTGAGTTTAAGGATTATTATTTAATGAATCCTCCTAATTTCAGACAAATATAGTTCAGTCTATTTAGTATCTCCTTTCCTCCCCTCCTAAATTAAGCAGTTTCATCACAACTTTGTGTGTTGATTTGCAGCTGCAATAGTGCAGACAAAGGTCATTAGTCTAATTTGAACACATACCACACACAACCCCTCACAACCCCTAAACAGGCTGCTGATTGCCTGTAGGGACAATATACATTCACCTGATGGGATCAGGGAAGTCAGATCTGTGCAGGAAGAGAGAGGGACTTAGAAGTAGAGCCACCCTATCCCACCCTGCCTTACCAAAAGCTTTTCCTAAGGCTTTTAGAGCTTACTTAATTAATTGAAAATAGCATCAAATAAAACTCAGAGGCTCTATGTGATTCTTTCTTTTTCCTTTTTCCCTCAGTATTTGGAAACTGTGACCTCTCGACAAAGCGATATTCAGAGATTTATTGCAGAAGGCTGCAGAGAAGCTCTCCTTGAAGAGAAAAGAAGGTTCTGTTTTCTGGTTGACAAGCACTGTAGCTTTACCCAGCACATGCACTTCTACCATGTTCAGGTCAGTGCTGTGAGCATAAACAGAAATGAAATTCATGAAATCCAGGCACACAGGAGATGTTGAGTATTTCCTGCAGCATGTAGACCAGACTGCCAGAATAAAATAACGAGTTTCAGACAAGTGTTGTGACCAGTTCATAGAAAATATTTACAACACACTATTCTATGAAATGTATTGTAGCAAAAATCAAAGGTTACTGTGATATTTTTTAAATTATGTATTAAAAATGCATGGATTGATCAGGTACTTCCAATATCTGACCCTGCCAAAGAGTTGTTTTTACATTTATTTCAAAGAGGTATTCCTTAGAAGAATCATACAGAATACTTCCATATTGCTGGTGTAAACATTCTGGTATAATGAAAGCTAACCAGTAGGTTTGTGCAAGTTTATGAAAAAGCCTATCTTTGACAACTATTTTTTAATTTGGATGCAGTGTGCGGACTTCCTAAAATCCAAACTGCCTGGGTGGGAGGAAATCTGTAGTGATGCCACCAAAGTGCCTGAAAAAGTCAGAATGATGATAGATGAGATCAGGACCCCTGGATCCACCCCAGTATCGGGAACGCCGCAGCCTTCACCGATGGTAAAGAGAAATACCCTGGTATGTTGTTCCTCATGGGTGTGGCTTCTCTTAAGTGGGTGTAGAGTGGCTTCAAGAGGTTCTGCTGGACCTCAGCTGGACTATACTGGGCTTGGGTATGGAACCAAAATCATTAAGATGAAGTTATGCTATGGGGAAAACACACAGCAGAGAAAGAGGAGCACATGTCCAAACAAGACTCAGTTCTCAGCTGGGTGCTCAGGGCTTCTCCTGCAGAGCTCAGCCTCAGGGCTACTTTTGTTCCAGCCATTCCATCTCCTGCATTCAGCAGTTCAATATGAACTTAAGAAAAATGTTATTTTCTATTTTCTTCTTCCCTTCGTGATTATTAGTTTATTGGAGCACAGGTGAAATTATTGTTTCTGCTGGTTTGCATTTTGTGTCATCATTAGTTGTTGAATTTCATAATTATTATATTAAACTTCTAAACAATCCAGAGATCACCATGCTATTTGCAGAAAAATATTGTAACCTTCCCACTAGCAAGTGTTTATCAAGCCTCTTACAAACTTTCAATCAGCAATTTATAGGAACATATGGGCTTTATTTAATGTTTAAATGTGTATCCTTTAGGAATATTTAAGCATTGCTCTCTGAAATTTAATCTTGAAAAAAAGCTACTGCTGTTCCCTCAGTATTGTGATACTGTTGTTTTTGTGGCTCTAGATTGGAAATGATTTTTATCCTCACCAAGAAAATGCATCCAAAGTGCCCCCAGCTCCGACAGGCAGGGCATACACGAGCCCACTCGTGGATATGTTCAACAATCCTGCAACAGCTCCCAAAAAACCTTCTGAAAAACTGAATCACTCAGCAGGTGAGTGTCCCTTCCCTACAAACTGGGAAAGTGTGAATGACACCCTGCAGTCTTCAGAATTACCTCAGGGCTCCTCTGCTACTATGATGATGTGAATTTCAGGATGCATAGAGGAGTAGGAAATGGTCTTTACAAAGGATTTATATAATTTATATAATCTAACAGGAGAGAGAGATGTGTTACAAGAGAATTGTTTGCAGTAAAATGCAGGTCAGGTTAGGTAGTTTCTATTTTAATCAATTTCTGTGTGTCACTGATTAACCCAACTTAACTGCTCTCATGGCTTGCAGCGTTATAAGCAGAAGACATTCCTTAGTTTTGAACAGGATACATCAGAGTGTTTCAGTGCACACAAACAAACACTGACACTCTCACTCTGGTTTACTTTAAGGGCATGTAGCAGTAAGGGAGAAATGCACATGGGGAAAAATGCACACAGTCTTGTAGTTCCTTTCCTGAAATTTCATATCCTAATAAGATTTTATTCCCAAGTGTCTAATATATTGATTTTTATACTTTCTGTGAGATAGGGAAGAACTTGGCCTAGACCACAGAATAAGAAATGCAGAACTCTTCAATGTGTAATAGAAATTCCAGCATTTCTTCTTTAAAAATACATTTACAATATATTGTACTAGTCAAATAACATACAGTTTTAAGCCCTCCTTTATTTTTTTTTCTGATAAACATCTGGTGTCCAGAAAGTGCCAAGTATCTGCAAGTCTCCTCAATTCTGAGTGCTGAGGCACATTTGAAAGTGAAAGTTGGATTTTATACACAGTTACTTTTTATCAGAAGGGAAAATTTTCAAAGGCCTTTTACAGCTGTGATTGTTTAGTACTTTTCATGACAAAAGAGGAAAGAAGTGGCCAGTTAAAACTTAGAGAATTTTTTTCTGCCTGTTGGTTCCAGTTTATTATGCTGGGTGTGTGCATTTAAAGCCACATGCAGTTAAGAACTTCATGGTGATAACATAAACATTGGCAGTGAAAGGTGAGTAAGTACAAAGAACTCCATTTGCACTTGAGTTTTTCTTTCTTTTTTTCCTCTCAGATTACTAATTACATTTATTTTTGTGTGTCTAATTTTTCTTTGTTTGGGATTTTTTGGGTTTTTTTGGTTTTTCTTTTTTTGACAGAGAATTCAGATGATGCCAGTTTATCACGTTCAACTTCTGTTGCCACGGGATTAAATATAATGAAAAGGCAAAAAGTGAAGACTATCTTCCCACATACTGCTGGAAGCAACAAGACATTGCTCAGCTTTGCCCAGGGGGATATCATCACCCTGCTGGTGGCTGAGGAAAAGGATGGCTGGCTTTATGGAGAGCATGACACAACCAGACTGTAAGATAATCAATATATTACCCACCTTGAACATGAAGTAAAGATGTGTCTCGTCAGATTATGTTAGCAGACGTTAGTAAATGGTTTTCCACCTTTCTTACTGGCTGTCACTGACTGCCGACTTGTAGTCTCCCTCTAAGGAAATTCTCTGCACATATTTAGTTTTACACACTAATTTGGCATCATCAGAAATTGGATTCTTCAAAAGTTAAATCTGTTTGCTGAGTCCACTGTTGTATTTTGAAAGATCTTTCCAATTTTATATAATATAAATGACCTTTCCCTTTACAGAAAAGGATGGTTTCCATCATCATACACCAGACCACTGGATGAATCAGCGGAAGAAAAAGCCTTTGCCCCAGTGCCAAGGTAACATTTTGGGTGGCACTTGCAGAAATGCCCAGGTGTTTGTTAATATTTATTTAAAATGTTATTTTTGTGCTCATGTACTTTGAGGTTCAGTAGCATGTACAGTAAATACTCCCTAATAGTCTGCAGTAAAATGCTTTAATTATGTTAATGAAGTGTTTTAATGGTTACACACAGACCAAAGGAGTAGCTTCAGAACAGCCTTAACTCAGTCCCACTGGCTCCAGGACATTGCACCCCATTATTGACTTCTGTGCTTTCCTGGTGCTGAAGAGCAGTGCGAGATGGGTTCTGGCATCTGGCAATGGTATTTGTTGGGTTCTGTCTTGCAGCCCTGCACCAATCCGAAGTGTGAGCTCTGTGAACCTTGTGGAGAAAGGAGAAGTTGTCCTCCCACCACCAGACTACCTGGGGGCTGCACAGACAGACAGACGGATGGAGCCTGCCAAAGGTGCTGCTGTGAAAACTCCGACCGACAGAGTGGAGCAGGCAGGCCCGGTGAGTGCCCAGGGCAGGGAATCCAAACATTCCACCCTGCTTGGATGGGCTCTTAAATGAGGGATTGGGATCTCCTACCTCACCTGCCTGTGCTTGACTCCAGCCCTTGACCCAGCTGTCTCCAGGAATTTCAGGAGCTTTGTCATTTCAGTCCATCCATCCTACCAGGAAGGGGGAAGAACTGTTCAGGGATATAAATGACAGTAGCAGGGGACTTCCCTGCACAGCAAAACTTCCCAGCAGTGGTATCTGTTAAATGTGAAATTCTCCCAGAAAGCAGTACAAATCCATCACCTCCAGTGATGTTAGAGCTGTGGGGCACAGGGGATTTACAGCAGCATAAACTCTGTGTTCAAGAACCCGATGAAAGCGAGTGCTGGGTTTGCAGCTATTGCTGAGGGAGAGCTGTACTAACTCCTGGCTGTGCTCAGCAAAGCTGCAGCTAAGTGAAAATACACTTTTTATGAACAGATACTGTATTACAATGCTGTTATTTCTGCTATTTAGGCAGCATTCAAATTGATTCAAGATGAATCAATTGCTAATGTAAGTAATGTAAGTAAGTGTGTAGTTTGTGCAGCAATGTTTCTGGGACAGTGTTTCCTGTGAGGAATTAAGCTTTTCTGCTGCATGAAATGACTATCAAGAAATATGACCTAAATCTCAGTGTTCAGTTACTTTCAAAACAAGTATCGGGAAACTTCTAAAATTATTCTGAAGACCAGCATCTGTATTTTGACATATTTGTGGTTTTCATTTTTGAATGAAGAAGCCATGAGCCTTAATAATGGTGTAATGTCAAAATTTCTTTAGCCTGTGTCTGGCTGTTAAGGCCTGCAGGATCAACGTGGCCTTCAAGTGTCCAAGATTATGTCCAAAGCCTTTGGCAGGTGCAAGGCCAGCAGGGAGAGTTCTGTGCCCTGGGACCAGGTTGACTGACTAAAGAGCTTAAAAGAATTATGGAATGTGTGAAATGGTCTCAGGATCCCTGCACTGTTTCTGTTGTGGTCCCTCCATTCTCAGGAAGAGTCAGCTTAAGGGTTGTTTTGGTTTGTGGCATTAGGTCAGGGGGTTTAGGAATAAAATTAAGGCTTGTGGACTAACATTCCTGTTGAACCAGAAACCAAAGAGGAATGGCAGATCAGTCAGTTGGCAGTGCTCTAATTGGAGCAGTACAATCTCTTTGGAGGCCAGAATGGAAACTGATAGCTCCTAGGAGTGAAAAACAAATACATCTTTTTTGATAATCTGAATTTCCACAGGGAAAGCAAGACTAAAATAAATTAGAATTTCTGGAGTGTAGAACAATGACCACTTTTGTTGAGGCACCTCCTAACTCACAGCAGCTGCTGTGACCCCATCTTAGGACAACTGTAGGAGAGCTGTTGCACTTGAAACCACGTGTTTGTTCCAAAGTCACTATTTATTTTCATTCTTGCAGAACTTCCTTGTCTTTCCTGCTTCCGTGCAAGTCCCCAACCCCCACACCTCCACAGGCTTTGGAAATAAGCCCAACATTATACTGAGCTGGCTTGTACATTCATACAGGATTTACAGATGTGTAAAACAGTCTGTTCACTGGGCCTCCTGTGCAGAAGCAGGAAATTATTCAAGGCATCTTACTTTTGTTTCAGAATACACAGAAAAAATAGCTCAGGATTTCAAAAAGGAAAGATGAGGAATGGTTCTTGCCTGTTAAACTGTTCATGCTGTGCTGCACAGGACAGTAATATGCACAAAAGTATCCACTCTAAAAGACTTAGTAGTTGACATAGCTTTGAGGAGGGTTGGTGTTCAGTAAGATTTAATTCAGGCATTTGTTCATTTTTCTTCATTTAAAAGGCTAATTAGGCCTAATTCTAAAGTCTATTTACAGCTGATGTACTTGAGCAATTTCATTGGAATCACAAGCCAAGCATGAGTTAAAAAACCTGCTGAATGAGGTCCTGAAACACAGCGTGCCTGGAATGGAAAGCCTGACAGGCTTTGGTTCAGCATGGAAATTGGAAGTATTAAAACCAAACTGGCCATACAGATTAAATTACAGTCTCTTTCCCTTAGCAGGACAGCGGGATCACCTGTAGCATATTTCTGCAAATTCATGTAAATACCTTCTTTTTTTTTTATTTTTTTTTTTACAGAAACCTGACATGAATGGCATTATAAAACCACCTTTTCTAAGGTAAAATACTTTTCCACTGATTTTGTTGCGGTTTTTTGACTTATTTTAATGATTATAAGGGGAAATAAGGATGTTTATCCTTAATTTCTCCATGACCTTTCCCAGGCTAGAACAATATGGCTAAAATTAGTTGAACTTTTCTCAAGAGTGGCATCAAGTGCAGTACACAGGCCCTTCTCAGAAAAACATGTTTCTCTAGTAGCATGACAGAGAACAGGACTTAAAACCTTTCTTTAACTGACTTTGAGGGTTAAAGGCAAAAATCTTTGAAGATTGGAACTATTTTTAAAAGCCCAGATGTAACTGGGAATTAACTTCCCAAACTTTTGGCTCACTGAAAAGTGATTCTTCATGTGCAACCTCATTTTAAAAATTCAAGTTAAACTAAGAGTTGCACAGAATCCCCACATCTCAGAGCCATAATTTACTTTGCTGTTTGACAGCAGCTTGGATGAAGGACCTGAGAGAATAAATTTGGAGTTAGACTGCAGAAAGCCTTCAAGTAACTTCATGCATTTCTTTTCAGTGGAGAAAACCCCTTTGCAACGGTGAAACTCAGACCCACAGTAACAAATGACAGATCAGCACCGATTATCCGATGAATACACAGCTCAGGCATGTGGGCTTCCTCCTTACCAACACTCAGTTTCAGCAATGACAATTACTATCTCAAGTTGGCCTAAAAATTTATTTAAATGTAATTACTGTACAATAGTAATACTGGAATGGAGCTCTGATGTTTTTAAAAGCTATAGTTTCTAATGAGTAATTGCTTTGGGCTAGTGTTTGAGCACTTGGGCTTGACTTTACAGTATGACTTTTTTTTGTAGTAGGAATTGTGAAAATACTGGAGATAGTTTGGATACTCTAGTGAATCAAAATAATAATAGCTCACAGAATCTTTGGCATTCATTACTTGGAAGCTGCAATGGTAAGTTCTAGAATATAAGCCTGCATATGCCACCTACTAAAGAAGGTAACAGTGACTTTTTTTTTTCAAACAGAACAATGTAACAACTGCCTTATTCCAGAATAGAAAATTGCCTGTATAAATGATTATCTGTTATTTTGTGTAAGAAAGATACCTTAGGCTATAAATAAATATTTATCCCCTTAAGAATAGACAACTTGTAATGCCTTGCTTAATGTTCACACACAAATTTCAGGTGTCAACAGAAACTCATTTTCAGTCTGTTAAACTGTCAACACGTTCTTCAATGGTAATTTTGTCTTTAAAAACTATTGTCAAATTTTAGTCTGATAAAAGGTCATAATAAAGCAGTGCCATGATTTTTTCTCAAATGCCAGTATAAAAAGCTACCTTTGAAGTTCCTTCATTACTGTAGCCTACCCAAAAGGAAAACAGCTTAAAGTTGAAAATTTTTGGTCAAGGAGCTGAGCAAAGGCCTGAGTGCTGGCAGAGTGCAGTAGCTAAGTGAAATTGAGCTTTTATCTTCAGCCACAGCAGAGTTGTGCCTGTGATTAATCCTTACTCTAAATCATTCTATTTTATACATGCACATGTTTCCTGTAGCATCCCCTGGCTCATTCCTACTTCTACTACTATAAACAGTGAATTCAAGTCATGTGAAATGCCTTTCAGTTACTTAATATCAAAAAATAGTATATGAGCATGTGCTGGCTGCTCTCACCCTGCCTTTCAAGTTCAAGGCAGAGGACAGTTTGCCAGAGAGCCCTGCACAAACATCCACCATCCCCACCTGAAACACTAGCTTTTTCAGAGGGGTAACTTACACCTGAGCCCATCTTCTAAAGCACAGTAGAGACAACTCAACCTAGTCTGTCTCATTTTCCAATTATTCAGTACCAGAATTAAACAATCTAAGATGCAAAACCTTTACTCAGGGCATCTCATGGTTGGCAGTGCCCCAAACTCTTCCTGCTGCAGGCAGAAGGTTTTGCTGTCTGTGAACCAACACCAGCCCCTGCATGAAGCAAAACCCTCACTAATTAAAACAGGGCTCTGATTGTGTGTTACTACTTGTGCCTGCAGTGGGGGAGAGGAGCTGTTGCCATAGAGGTAGCACACACAGCACTTACAAAACTTCCCTCAAATATTGGATGCCCTAAACAAGTACAGTCTTAAACATTGTTTATCATCATCATTATAAGGATGCTGGCAAATAATTACCCTTCATTGTAGCTAGGATTACTACTCTGCTTTCAGACTACATGGTATCAGACACATCAGTAATACTTAATAATCCAGCCACAAGTTGAGGATTGCAAAAGGAAAAGCAGTTTTATTTAGTTTTCAACAGGTGCCACTAAACATGGAAAACAAGTCAGGTTTTCATGTTTTGCAATGCACATGCTCATGAAAGATTAGGTTTAAATTACATGCAAGAGACTAAATTCCTTCACACTTTACAAAACAGGTCTGAAGCAAATAAAATGATTGTACATGACATTTACATTAGAAAGAGTATGCTAACAGTTGTAGCTTCCGTAAGCACGTCCACGTTCAGCCCCTCAGCCAAAAGCTGCCCCACAGTTAGGGCATCTTCTCTGCCTCAGTGCAAGGCAGAACAGAATCCCAATTGGAAAGAATACAATGGCACACAAAACACCAAGACAGGTGAAGGTGTCCTCCAACACGCCAACCCTGCAAAAAGGGAAAACAGACTCAGTCAAGGACACTCACCAAGCCTGCCCCCAGATCACCACCACCACCACCCAAATCACGTGCTTTGGCAGTCATGAGAAACCACACCATTTTATAGAGCAAGATAAAGTACAAGGTTTGGGGCTTGTTCCTGGTTTCTACTTCTCAAAGCTGATTTCTCTTTACAGCTGTAGAGGAATTATTGATGTCACCTGGCTCCAGCTGATTCCCAGCTCAAAACAAAAATTTTGTTTCAGCACAGTCCTATGACATCAGAAATTTATCTCCATTTCAGTCCCTCACTCATTTCTGAAGCATCTCCCAAAATGAAGACAGACAGTAAACCAGAGAATTCAGACTTTAGAAATTTGTGCAGTTACATTAAATAGTCAAGATTTGGAGTTTAGCAGAACACTCGAACAAGATGTGTCCTCCTGGTACAGTGAAAGTCAACACAAACAGAGCTGAGTGACCCTGAAGTGCAGGCTCTGAGCAGGGTGCCAAGGCCAACAAGCTGCTGTTTCCCTGTGAGCAGCCAGGGACAAGCTCTTGGATGTGCAAATAGAGCAAAGGAAGGAAGGCACAGGCTCAAGAGACCATTTCCTTGCAGCAACTGCCTGAAATATTGCAACTTGATTAAACTTGGGAACCATTCCCCTTCCCCTCAGCCATCATCAGAAGCCAAAGGCTTTTCCAAGTGTTCTTGATATTCTGCTGCTTACGCAAGTTCATGTTCCCCTTAAGCTTTCCCTCACTTTAATGCACTTTATTTCTGTTTGCAGAGATAGAAGTTAACTCTCTAAAGAAAGAAAATAGAAAATAAAGGAACTGTCAGGTTACCATTGATCCCAGCAGCAGCTTTATCATTTAATGTCCTCGGATAATGCTCTTTTAAGGCAACTAAAAAATGGAGACAAAGTTAATATCAGCACATAGATTCGAGTCTCAGCACACAAGTGTCCCACAGCTCAGACCTGTGCAGCCTGTGCTGGACACTGTGGCCACTCCACAAACTCAGCATAACAGGAGCTGTGGGGAGAGAACAGGAGGCTCTCCTGAAGTGCTCTGGAGCCATGGGGAGAGACAAGAGTAGTACCTGCACTACTGAAACTCTACAAAACATGGTCCAGCTGTGAGAAAAAGGGTCGGATCTGAAGTCCTGAGGAGCGTGTCTTGAAGCAGAACACTTCTGCAGAGCTCATCTCTCACTGTTCTAATCTCTCTGGGCACACAGATATTCAAGAGTAATCTTGCATTGTTTGTGGCAAAACAAAGTGCCTGCCCTGAGAGCTAGAGCTCAGGGAAGTGCCATCTCCTGGGAACACTCTGCTACTAGAGCTGGAATGCAAAGAAACTCAGGATCATTGGGACCAGACCAGTTACAGATACAGGGGCAAAAAGGACACTGCAGTGTTCAGCCAGAGGTGTCAGGTCTGGATGAAGCAGCTGAATTTGGCAATTTGCACTTGGGAAATGCTGACCACCCTCAGAGCAAACAGAAACCAACAGCACAGGCTCAGGAGATGAGGCCTCTCTTTTTCCCCTGTCCACAGGTTAACTCAGTAACACTGGATGTATAGAGAGGCTCAGGAATATGCTCGTGTTTTCTGAGTAATTCAAGATTCAGTTTTCACACTGCAGATCCACCCAAGACAACCACAGCCCCTTTTCCAGGCATTTCAATGACATCACAAGTAACATTATTTGGAAAATGCACACCAAGTACAGTACACAGCACATACAGCTGTTGTATTCCTGCCCTGCTCTGCTGGTACATTAATGCCTTCTTTTCCTTCCACACCCACTGAGCACTTCCCTCCTGCAGGCATCCCTGCTTCGGTACTGTTTCAAAATCTCCTCCTTGTCTCTTGACAATTCCTATTCAGTTCCTGCCCTGAAACCTACATTTGTGACAAGTAAGCTGGCGTGCTTAGTTAAGAGTATATATAAGCAGTCTACTGATGTGATCTTAAAGAATAAACATACTAATCAAACACAGAGGGATCAATTGGGCTACTGCTGGTCAGCCCCAACAGGGATGAGCACAGCCCAACCCATTCCAATCACCTCTCTTAATCAGTTTGCAGGGCCCAAGTCCATTGGTCAGCACATGTCCTTGAAACTTTAAATAGACTTTATTTTAAACTCCCTTCCCCCTAAACAGAGTTACTCAGAAGAGTTTTGTGGTAGTTAAACTAAAACTTTAAAAATTGCCATCCAGATTCAACACCAGATCCAGGGAAAAGGCCCAGAGAGGGGCAAAGGAGGCACTGCTGGGTCAGCACTGGAGAGGAACAGGGACAGCCCAAGCCAGCAGCAGAGCAAGGCAGGGCACCTGAGCTGTGTCTGCTTGACCTCCACACCGTACCTGTTGTTTCAGAGCTCCTATCACATCCAACAGTGTGATTACAGCATTAGCCACACAAACACTTCTTGGCTTCTGCTGATTTATGTCAGCACCTAATTTTAGATGAACACTTACCCAACCACTGCTTAGCCAGTTACTAAATTTAAAAAAAAAAAAAAACCAAAACTTTTTATAAGGGAGACCATAAATATTTTTTGCTTGTCTATCTTACCTGAGTGGAGTAATTAGAGACTCCATATTCAAACTGTGGATTCACTAACATAACCAAACGTAAATTTTCTTCTACAGCATAAACCACATAAAAGCTGATTATAACTACACCACTCCCACTCTAAAAATAAAGTGGAAAGGTTTATTTATACTGCAAGCAGCATCTTGCATTTAAGCTATAACTGCAGCTGCCAGCTCCATACAGTAAGGTCAATTATGCCCACCAACAAGTACTTAAAATCAAATTGTTTTTCAGATAACCTCTTCAAAGTAACTCTTAAAACATTAAGATCTTAAGTCAAAGCTCAGGATGAGAGGGCCGATAATGAGATCTCTGAACACAGCACTGGTCTGATTTAACACGTGCATTTTTAGACTTAGCACTACATCACAGTATTTAAATGTGGGCTTATCAGCATTTTTTAGACCTTACAAATACATTCAAAGGGTCACCCCAGGTAATCAGAGACAGGCTGATTACACCACAAGCTCTGCAAGACATGAAAAGAAACTGCACTTGAGAAAACTGCTATCCTCCACACAGATCACTGACCAACCACTGGAATTTTCAAATCAAATCCCATCTTCTGCCACAGAGGTTGGTTGAGTTTCAAAGTTTAGATTTGAATGAAAACACCAGACCAGGGACAAGCGTGGACTATGGCAGCTACATGCTAAATTTTTAACTTTGAACATACAAACAAAACCAGCCAGAGATTCTTTATCATCTCCTGGCTAATGCAACAGCACCAGCTATGTTCAGAATGTTTAAATCTCACCTGCAACTGAAGAACAAAAAGAATTGACAATTACATATGGGACTACTGAGTAAGCACTGGGTGTTTACAGTTTTAATTTCTATGAAGAGAGGTATCAGCTCCTCCAGCCTCAGCTGATAACATCTTGAATGGTTGTTGATCCATATCACAAGAAGCCCAAATCTCTATGTAGCCACTGGCTTGCCCTCCTCAGCACAAGATGTACATATATGTAAATGCAATTATCCTTAAAAATCACTTCCAAGTAGGAGGCATGACAGTATTTACAGATTTATCTGAATTTCCTTATGCTTTAGGCTTCATTTCCTATACAGAGGCCTGGCTGCAGAAGCAGAGGAATCCTGGCAATGGGAGCAGCCTGGCTATTTGTCTGTCTTGAAATGCCTCCAAACCACCAGCCTTTGCTGCTGCAGGAGCATCACTGCTTTAAACCCAGTTCTAATCAGGAGATGAGCCTCAAGACTTCACACCAACAGCCCAGCCTGGCAAACAAGGCTGAGCACACCAGTCAGAGCTCTCTGTGGGGTGGATACCCAGCAGGGTGAACACACTGAGCCCTGGTGGGGCTTTTCCTCCCTTGCCTGCACACTCAGCCCAATCAGTATTGCTGTGGTGACCAACAAACAAGGGCAGCTCCCTCCTCTCTCCCAAAACAACTCATTGCTGCAATGAAATCCTAACTATCAGACAAGTATTCTTCAAGACAAATGGTGACTCTAAGGAAAAAAAAATTACTGTAATTCAGGGCCAGTGACAGACTAAGCATTAGAGACCAGATTATCATTTTCATAGTCTCATTAGGGAATACATCCCTGCTGTGCCTTACTTTTCTAAGAAATGAGACTTTATGAGATTAATGTGTTTTGACTATTGCCCGCACATCTGGTCAGACCAGTGGAACAAAACCCCTCAGAAGCAGCAGAGCTGTGCTGTTCTCATTTGGGACCCTGCTGCAGGCTTATCCCTCCTCTCTGCGGGGCTCAGCCAGCAACTTCCTGCTCAGCAGCTGCTGTTAAGCTGGGAAAAGTCCCAGCTCTCCCAGTTAGGAATTCCAAATGGCACTTGTGGCATTTGCCCAAGTCTGCTGGATCAAGGCTTTCTTCTTCCCTGTCCTCCTCACAGCACTCTCAAAAAGGTATTGCAAAGTTTGCTTCACTCACAAGTTTCAAAAGGACCTCCAGCTTGCTGCTGGAAATCAAAAATCTTCAAGTTTGCTCACACTATCAGACATGCTCTCTAAACAGGTGTTTTGCTGTTGCCTTTTTTTAAAGTCCTTGCATATTTAAGCAGTGAATGTAATTAAATTATATCAAAAATACTTACATGAAGTTTAAATATAGTTGTGAATAACTACAGAAAGTCTGCATCTTTTATCTGCTTGATAAAAGCTACAGCTTGAGCTGCCTTTGTTATCAAAGCCCACACAGCATTTGTGACTGAAATAATGAAAGAGCAGAAGACTGAAATTTGGAAAGACTTGACCACCTAAGTGCATTTTTTCTAGTCTATTCCCTCAGGAGACATGCGTGTAATTGACAAAAACAAAATTTCAACCAAAACCTGAGAAGTTACAACTTTGTCAAGTAAAAAAACGAAACCAATAAATAAAAAAAACCCACCACAATAACAAACCAAAATCGCACCTGGAATGCTGTAAGACACATTAGAATAAATACAGGTTTAATACAACTTGTCTCATCTTCCAGTTTAGGAAGAAGCTTCAGTGTTGGCATAATTTGAGACCCACTACGATGCTGGTGAAGCAGATGCACTGTAGCTGTCAGAAGAGAAAGCTGCAGCAATGTGAAGCCCTTTCCTTGCTCTTTCTCCCAAGCAATTGAATTCAGCTGAAGAGTTAAATAAAAACCCAACAGGGTCCATTACAGGCTCTCTCCCAGATTTTGAAGGAATTGGCTTTGCAATCATCATATCAAGAGAATGTTTTTACAGTTTTTCAAAGGAACTTTCTTCTGTTAAATAACAGGAAAGCAAACATTCCTGAGCAGTTAGTTATCACCAACAACAAAAGACAGAGAAAAAGAAAATGAAAGTGACCATAAGTAAAGCAGCCAGGCTGAATTCTCCAAGCTAAAAAGATAATTTCACAGCAGGAAATCTAAAGTCAGTGCCTGTAATGACTCAGTGTGTACTTGGGAACATAGAACAGTTCAAAAGCAGGACTTGGCCAAACCTTAAATGTCAGCTAGAAGCCATAAAGCTGACAAGATTGTGCAACTCAGTTTAATTCTCTGTACATCAGGGCTGGGAGAAGAACACACACTGAGACAACAGGACTACAACCACCAAGGACGTTCTGAGAATGCAAGGAAGGATGGAATACACATTAAAACTGAAGTCTGTAACTAGAAAGCAACACTGACCACTGCGGAATGAGCTCCATGTAAGGAATAGCTCTAAGCAAGAGGCACAGCTTGCAGGACAGGAGAGTCATCCCTCAGATGGCAGCAGTGCTTCAGAGAGAGAAGGGCAGGAATGCAATTACCACTCACCACGGGCATATTACCAACTTCAGAAAGGCTACTTCTGGAGATACTTTGTACTTTTTATGACTAAATACCATTAAAAAAAGCCTAAAGATCAACTGTACTGGAGCCAGCTTATTAACCCCAAGATCTCTCATGACTGCAGTAAAATAGACACCAATTCAAATAACAGACCAATACTGTGTATTTCTCCTCAACACCATATATTTTAAGTTGGAAGTGGTTTTTATTTCAACATGCATCAGCAACATGAATGCACGTCATAGTGCAACAGACTGCTTTGTATTTCTGATGGCAGAAATTCTCTTGATGGCCTTTAGGTTACTCCATCAGTTACATCATTCCACAGCCACACACAAGGCTCTTCCTCGTGATCTAAAGCAGATGGACTAACAATCATGCACCATCAAATCAGGAAAGTAACAGGACAACTGACCTGGTAGTTTAATAACAAAGTTTTTTATGTACCATTAAAGTTTTTAATATTTTTCAGTGCCCCTTCAACAACTTTTCTGTTCTGGACAGTATTAAGAGTTTAGCTGAATATTGCATTCATCATAAAATAGGTTTCCAGGACACGAAAGTAAACTAGAACTGTATTTAAGGTCTTGAAAACTCAAAGAGGATTGAGTTCTTTCTCTAAAAGTAGCAGCCAGTGTAACCTTCCAGAATATGAGTCCTTCAGGCTCCTATGAGTATTTCCAATATTATGCTTTTCACTCAGCCTCCTTGTCCTTTCTCCTGAAGTAATACACTGTCAATTCCACAATACTCAAAAACCCAGCAATCTGAGATTTTTCCCTGCTATCTTGACACTTGACTCCCGTTCAAAGGATAATAAGGAACTAACACATGGTAATAGGGCAAAGGAGATTGACGCACCATTACAAGATACAGCTACTCATCCTTGGGATTTAAGATTCAAGAAGTGTTTGGACAATGCTCTCAGGCACATGGTGGGATTCTTGGAGTGCCCTGTGCAGGGCCAGGAGTTGGATTAGATGATCCTGATGGGTCCCTTCCAACTCAGCATATTCTATGAACTTCCAGAAAAAGAAAAAACAATAGCAAAAAGAGCCTATCCATTTTAAGCTATTTCCAAGAGCACTTCCCCAGTGAAATGCTTTGAGCTATCCTGGGGTCAGGGCCAGAAGGTCTGTCTCTGTAAACACACTGCCTGCCTCTCTCCAAGCCATGTACAACATCTGCCCTGTCTTCTGGCTGAGCTACAGCATCAGCATGTTGATGTAACCACTCAGGTGGCAGGATCTACCACATCCTCTGAACAGCTCAGCACTTGCTTTCCCCTGTTTAAAACACACACCTTCTAGACCAATAGCTCTAGCTGGTACAGGTTTTTCAGCCTTAACTAGTGGCATTTCAACAGGCACCTGTTTTTACATAACACCACAGGATACTTCTTATTTGAATCCACCTTTGAAGGCCAGGTATTGACTCTCGGACAAACACCAACTTTAACACTTGGGCTACAGCCTCTGCCATACACTCATCACACACCAAACTGCTTTCACTTCAGCTACTCAGGCAGGTCTGCTTCCTACACGTTCTGGAGGGAAGGGAGGGCTCACACCTGCAGAGTATCAACTGCCTCCTTGCAAGGCATCCCAAGGGGAACTCCTGTACACTTTAACAGAGGGGAATGAGCTGCACTTGAGTCACAGCTGGCAGGCAGAGCAGTGCCTGAACTGCACCAACAGCAATCCCTCTGCCCTCAGCCATGGCCTTATATCCAGGGAAGAGAAGAACTGAGAAGTGAAAGGGCCTACGGCTGACTTATAGCATTAGTGAGGAAACTGAGTGCCTCCTTCCTTATTTATGGCTGTGATCTCCAAGGGGGAAGTTGTTCTCTTGCTGCAACTCCATGTAACAGCTGACCACTCTTTCTGGTTTTCACCACTGCAGCAGACTGACATTTTTGGTCTGGTCTATCAATTTCTCTGTTCTTCTGCAGATGAAGGACTTTTAGAGTTCTTTCGAAGCTTTAAGCCACCAATGTTTTCAGCCAATACTGACAATCACCCTGCCTGGTTTTGCACAGTTTGGATTGGGAATGGGAACACACACAAAAGCAGAAGTTCTTCCACACTACTGCCAGAAAACCAGAAGTGACTATGGTAAAAGATTACAGAATTTCACAATAAAATCATGCTACTCACCATCACCAGCCATAAACACATCAGAAGGGACTTCCTGTCATGCTTTTCCCCAAGAACTGACCTATCTGTCGCTGAAGTGCTATTTCATTAAAAGTATCACAGATCCTCCTCCATCTTAAAGAACAGATTCATGTTTAAAGTGTCTTGTATTGTTTATAGCAAGTGTCACAAGCCCACCAGGACAAGCTCTCACTACAAAAACCAAAGCATTCCACTTCCTAGATCTTAGTGCCTTTTCAGTTAATTGTAATACACACACAAAGAAAAGCTATTGAAAACCAAGGAACCATATGGATACCTGAGTTTAATTCCTCAAGAGCTATTTTACCTGCAGGCAGGACAGCCACCAACTACTACTACAGAAGTGGTGGTGGCAGGCTGTTGAATGATGGTGTACGTGCTCGAATAGTTTGGCTGTGATGTCGGTGGAGGAACAGCATACCCTAAAATAAGAAAAAACCTTCAATCATCACATGTAAGGCACAAAGAACAATGATTATTTACAAGTACTACGACAAAACATGTAAAACAATAAACAGGAATGTAGTCTTGATTAAGCACTTTGAGCTCTATCATAATCAGAACTGGAACACCTGGCACATCTAATAGCAAAGCCACTTCATAAAACCAAGTATCAATTTAACCATCCCAAAAGGACACTGAGCTAATAATTAACTTCGAGATTTTGTTTCAATGCTGTTGAGCACCAGAGAAAAACTGTTTAAACAATGACCACCGTTTTCACCATAGCTTTCACTTCTGGATGTCCCACTCCAGCAGACAAGTGATTTGAAACAGAATAAATATTCCTCTAGTTTCAAGCTTAAATTCTAATACTATATTATTAATATTAAATATTATTAAATTCTAATATACTAAGTGTCTAACTGGAGATTAAGGCAGGAGTTATAGGATGCAAGTAGAGAGAAATAGCGTAGGGAAAAACCCCAACTTTCAGAAAGTTTGTGTTACCAAAAGAATGAGTAAATTTAACAGCTGTAGATAGAAGACAGAAGCCTTTAACTGCTTTGTTAACATTAAAAACTTTAAATTATATTTTAAAAACTTTTGAAAGGGATGGTTAGATGTACGCAGTGTAGTAAAGGCATAATTTGCCCAGTTGTAATCAATTTTGAGCTTATTTCCCAGGTTCTCAGACTTTCTTTGATCAAGTTATCCATTGGTGAAGTCTCACAACCTCACAATTCAAACTGAAAATAACCACTAATACCTGTACTGCAGGAAAACAAGCTTCAAGTTATCAACAGGAAAATCAATCTGTAGCCTCAAGGTTCAACTCAAAGACAGGGGTCTGTGTCTGCTGTGTAACTTCTATAACTTTTGAAGCATTCCTCTTTCTTGAGAGGTTACTTCTTTCTCTGGCAGATGTTAGCATTAATTCAGTTAACGAAAGTATTGCCTCTAAGTCACCTGCCTAAGTCTCTCCCAGGCTACTGAAGTGTATCAGAAAAAACAAACATTAACCCGGGTACAGCGAAGTGCAGGCAAAGAACAAGTTTGGGGTCTGTTTCAGTGCCAAGCACAGCCGTGGCTCTGCCATTGCTCCGCGCGTGTGAGGAATGCCCCTATTCCCAGCCGGGATTTTGGGGAGAGCACAACACAAACCCCTCAGGGGCCCCGAGGGAAGGAGGTCAAAGGGAGACGGCGCTTTGGAACACCTGGATCCCGGCGCAGCCGCCTCCCTGCGCAGCCTTCGAGCGGGGGAGCCGCGACACCCCCAGCGCCTCCCTGTGCCGGGGCAGCCGCACCGGGAACGGCCCGGGAGTTCCCCGCTCCTG